GCTTTGTTTACGAGTTATTAACGAAAAACACTGGCCAATGAGAGGTGACGGTGCGAGAGAGAGAGAGAGAGAGAGAGAGAGAGAGAGAGAGTCCGCAGCACGAGGCCGCAAGGTCGGGACGGACTCGAGCCGCGTTCGAAGTACTAAACAAATCACGAAGCGAGAACTTTCCGGATTTTTTTTTACTACATAACAGTGATATTTTTAAGAAAAACGCTGTTCACCTTTACTTTAGAACGTCTGAAGAATATTTACTAATTTTTCGGACCCGAAATAATATGCTGTCACGGTTAAACTACATATTATTTCGAGTCCGAAAAATTAGTAAATATTCTTCAGACGTACTAAAGTAAAGGTGAACAGCGTTTTTCATAAAAATATCACTTTTACGTAATAAAAAAAAATCCGGAAATTTCATGCTTCGTGATTTGTTCAATATTTCGAACGCGCCTCGAGTCCGTCCCGACCTTCTGTCAAAGCCTCGTGCTGCAGTTTCTCTCGCGGACTCTCTCTCTCTCTCTCTCTCTCTCTCTCTCTCTCTCTTGCACCGTCACCTCTCATTGGCCAGTGTTTTTCGTTAATAACTCGTAAACAAAGCTGCAGATTGCATTTTCGCAAAGGAAAAAGTTACTTCAAATAACCTCAGGAACCCCCCATTTTTGGCTGTTAAAATAATTGTGGAACAGCCGTATACATAGACATTTTTTTATAGAACGAAAAAGTTTTTTAATAGAAATTTGGCTGCTTAAATAGATTTAGTAATTAATCTGACTTGTAAACAAATGTAAGAACTTACCATTGTCATTATATACAGGAATACACGTTGGATTCTCTTTTTGACATTTTGTTGCATTGGCGATTTCTCGTTTACGGCATTCTTGGACGAATTTTATTGCTTCCAACCAGTTCTCCATAGCTTTGTGCACGCGTTGATTCATTGTGGTCCCTCGCAGTCGTTCCATCTGTTTTAAAAAACAATTGTATAGAACATTCGACGCTTTATTGCAATTAGACTGTGAATCTTTATGAAAGTTGTTTTTATAAACTATTTTGATTGTGATGTTCCTTTGTTTAAGAAAATGTGAGTGGGATTTTCTATATTCTATGAACTTTTAAACGTTATGAATATATAAGGATTTGCAGTCTAGTTGCAAGCAAGAGGGAAATAAGAATATTTAATGGCTTACTTTCGCAATCAATGTAATAACACGTGCGTGTTCTTTTAAATAGTCGATAATTAAACGATCGACACGTGACGGGTTTCCTTGAAGGCGAGGAACGGGTATATTGTTTGCACTCGTAACTCTTTTGCCAGGGAAATGAGCAGCTAATCCAGCCTCACATTTTTTTCGCTCCTTCTCTAGTTGTTTGAACTGCTTATAAGTCTGTTCCAATCTGAAATGAAGTATACTCGAAGGAGCTGTTCTTCTGGCTATATAACTTCCATTTCGAAGACTCAAGCTTCCACCGTAGAACACAGAAAACAAGCGTGGAGCTGGAAGTTGTACAGGAACTGGCATCACTGATGGAAACACTCCAGATCTGACTGTGCTCGGATTCGGTACTATTCCTGAATTGAATAGAACATTTCCGGAAGAGACGCCAGGAGCATTCTGTATTCTTGGTATGTGATGTCGTTGCTTTACAATGTAATTAAAAGTATCCTTGTTCATTGAGGACCCTGGGATTTGATTGGTCAAATGGTTTACGGAAGGAAAAGCTATTTTTTTGGTGAGATCTAGTCCTTCCATTTTGTACGTACAGTTAGGCTGTTTCAAGTCGTGATACGATGCAGAGCTCTGTGGTAGCATTTTTAAAGCCTCGCCGCTGTTGGCAGTGTAAGGTTGATAATTATGGTATCCGTATTTCGCAATTGACTGGTGCGCATGTCGTGAGCTTAAATTCTTTGGAAATCCGATCGGTGAATATGTCTTGGTCTCCATAGTCTTAGATTTTGGACTGATAATTTTCAACAGATTGTTGTCGATTCTGTAATCGTTACCCAAAAGACAGTTATCATTCGTATCTAAGCTATTGATTGACGTCGTGGTGATGTCATTTACACCTGGATAATAATCGATCAGTTGTTTGTATTCTTGGTCCACAGCTTGATCCAACTTGTAAGTACGAGCTTGTTGCAAAAATTGAAATTGTTCGTTTGGTATAGAGATATTTGCCATGCTTAATCTACCCGAGTCTTGTAAATCCTTATAATCGCCGGCACTACCGCGTTGTATATTATTCCCAAAACAATTGTGCAAGTTCGTATCAGCCGGAGAAAAATGTTGCAATGGAGAATTCGAGAGGAAACCAGAATCAATGCTCAAATCAGTCATTGCCGAACTTGGTCTATAACTTTGATTACTGGCAGTCATGCTGTACAAATCATGCATAGCAGCTGATGGATTATTATAAGTATTGGTGGTGCCATTTTGTCCAATGTTATTATATTCCAGCTCGTTGAGGGTAATTGGATCAGGAGAATCTAATGCCAATGTTAAAGCCATATTAATGTTCAGGTCTGGATTTGTGCAATTTTGTATTCGTTGATAATTTCCAAATAAATCCGTGGTACATCCCACGGAGGACAAATTCTCTGACCAATTAGATTGTTTGCTTGAATTGGTCTCATTCGTTGTTGTTAACAAATCATTACATAGGGGCATGGTACTTCTACTGATACATGAATTCTCATCATTTGAACGTAACATGTACGACTGTGAATCAGATGGGTATATACTCGGATATGCATTAACTCCGTTACTGTATAAATTCTTTTGATCTGGTAATTGTACCCCACATGTATTGAGACTCAATGTTTTCAGTTCTCCACAAATGTTATTATAATTACATTCAGGTTTAGTATTGCTGGAAACACTGTTCTGTAATTTGCTGAATGTAGAATGTATATTAAAGTGATCTAGAGCAGCCAAATTTAAGTCCATGCTACTCTCTATTTTCCTATCCATGATAGAGGATTGTGTCTCCGAGCGATATTTAATATTGCCGTTATAACTATTACTCTGGACATTATCACTGACAATCGAATCATCATCAAGGATTTTTGAGACCAAATCATTTACCATAGGATTGTTTAAATCCTGGCCATCTTCATCCTCCATATTTATCTAAACGAATAAAATATTACAAAACTGATATTACTATAGGTTACATAAAATCATTTTTTGCAGAAAATAAATAAATTCTAGATAACGTGAACATAAATATATTTCAATTAATTCTGCAAACTTGAGTAATCTGCTTAATAAAAACATTATGTATACAAAAATAATTCTACGCCTAAAAATAATATGAAAATTAAGAGTGACGAAATTGCACTCGAGGCTTCATTTTCAAAATATTAGCAATTAAAAACTTTCCTATACTATGATTTCGTTAATGGCGGTCACTTACTTTGGAGTTGTAATACGGAACCCCATACAACATTTAGAGTAAACACTGTTAATACCCCTTACAATGAAACACTTTGTCTTCAATAATCGCTTGTCAATCGTCAATATGTATTAACCACTAAGCTTTGTAATTATGCTGTTTGCAAGTGTCTACAGCATTTTATACACAAACATTACAATTCTGTATTTCATCGGTGTGTGGTCTCTCGTTCGCAATTGTGAATCTTAAATTTTCCGAGTGAAACACAAACGGAGTCTTTATGAAATTTTCGAACATACTTGAATTAAAACATGAATATCAGAGTTTGCAAACGAATCATGCCAAACAATAACGCGAGAGTAGAAAAGAGCTCTGCGATTGAAAAAACAAACGTCGATCATGATCTTGTCTTTTTTTAAGCTGAATATACCCGAAATGCATAACTGGCAAAATTACATAGAACAGAAAACGTTAGTAAATTTCTATTCTCGAATAAATAAGTATGCCGAATAATAAAATATAATTTTACCAATTTACCGTTTTTCTAAAGATAGTAATTTTAAATCCTGTTGGTTGTTATAATAAGATAAATATGGTTGTGTTATTAATTTCATTTATAACAGTTCTCAGTTATTCGTTCATTTATAACAGTTCTCCGTTATTCTTACAAAGGAAAATTTTCGATTCGGAAATTGAAAGAATTATGAAACTTTGTGTTACACAATTTTTTTCATAGCCCATCTTTAGTTTAAAAGGTTACAATCAATTCTAAAAAATTCGGCTGTTATTCGATTTTATTTCATAACTTGCAAAAATTAGTTCTATGAATTAAATTTTTCAGAAGGAATACATAGTTCTTCGAAAGATTTATTAACTGTTTAAACAATTAAGAAGAAGTTACACTAAAAACTCCATTGATTTAAATTATTCGTAAAATTGGATTTCTCTCTCTCTCTGACTATAAAAT